TCATGTATTAAATTTTATTTTTAACTGATTAATTTGTATCAAATTTATCATATATTGTTAAATTAAATTTCTAATGAAAAAATAACTTCATAAATTAAAATACTATATATAAAATAAAATTAAAATTACTAAAAATATCATTAATAATTAATAGGAAAAATAACATTGTAATTAAAATTGCATGATAAAAATAATTAATAGAAAAAATATCTATAAATTTGTTCAGTTACCTTGTAATTAAAATAACATTGTTTATTTACTTTCAGTTATGTTTAAATTTAAATGATATTAATTTAAATTATTTTAAAAATTAATTTAATATAATTCATATTTTATTATGTACTTCAAACATTAAAATATACTTTGAATTAAAAAAATTACACTTACAAAATTATTAGTTTAATATAATTTAAATCATGTATTGAATTTTATTTTTAACATTAATTTGTATCAAATCTATCATTATTTTCTTTAATACATCATAAGTAATTATTTACTTTTATGTTTTTCACGTTTTTTAGAGAATAACAAGTTCTAATAAAGATAAATAGATCACTGTTGTAAGATACACTAAATATATATAACAAAAAAGAGTTAATTAGTAGTAATATAGTATTAATTGATAAAAATGTATTAGTATTTGTATTTTTCTGATTAAAAATTTATTATTTTTAATAAATTATAATTATGTTGTTTTTATATATTATTATATAATAATTAACTAACTTAATTTTTTTTTAATTTTTTAATTGATTAATTTTTTCTTTCTACAAAGCAACTACATACATGCTTCCATAATATGAAGTATTTGTTACCAATTCAACGGTATATTAAAGTAAGAAAAAATATATTTCATAACAAATTTTTCAGTGATAAAGAACAAAGATTTACTGTTGTTAAAAACAATTATTTCATTTTGCAATTCTATGTCACTAATTATTATTAAGAAATTAAATGATGATAACATAATTTCTTACAGTATCTTTGAGTTTGTGAATTTTAAAGATTTGAAAAGTCGTTGTGAAAATAACATTTAAACAGGTATTTTGCTGTAAAATTTTACTAAAATTATTATATAAGTTGTATTTAATTTATCAATTAAGTTTCTAAATTTATTTATTTTATGAATAGATGTGATTAGAGTAGTCATGCACACAAGTTTTATTAAAGAAAAAAATAACTGCTTAAGGCAAGATAAAAGAAGGAGAAAATTAATGTATAAATTATAAATTTGTAATATATTGTTCAAATTTTTTAGATCACACAATGATTTATATTTTCTATTTTTTATTAGGTCGCAACTTGAGAAAGATAAAACAAAAAATGGTGAACAAAAGATAACAATGGAGAATTTAAAAGATTGAATCATTTTTATTACGATATTGTATAAATACTTTTAATATTGTGTGGAATTTGAAAAGTAAAAATATTGCTAAATATTTTTGCTTTTTATAAAATAATTTTATCTTATTATATATATATACATATATATATATATATCTTATTTTATTATTATATATATTATGTATTGACTTTGTTTTTAACATAAAATTTGTTTAAATTTTATATGACTCATAAATTTTATATTATATTAACATCTGTAATTCTAATTGATATAAAAATTAATTTTTATATTAAATAAAATCATTATTCTCTTTTAGTTTCTATCAAAATCTTAATTGAAAATTTTTTAACTACTCTTTTTTTCTCAACTTCTATTATTTTAATTTTTAAAAAATAAGTTAATAGGAATTGACTTATCATAATTATTTTATTTGTATTTTATATTATAATAATTACGATGACAAATTTAATTTTTTTAAATTAAAAAATTAACAATATTTTTACTTAATAATTTTGTTGCAATTTTTTTATAAAATGTTATAATGATGATGATAAATTCAAAAATTTCAAATTAAAAATAATTAATTATAATAACTGAAATAAATCAAATATTATTAAATATCATAACAATGAAAATGAATATGATTTGATATTTAAATCTATAAGTAACCGTTGGTTTTATATATTTAATAATTTTATATTGTAATGAACAGATATATAAAAAAAATATAACGTTTTAACTCTAAATTAAATTCAAATTTTAGATTTAATTTATATATATATATATATATATATATATATATATATATATATATTATTTGTTTCAAAAGTTAACAAACAAATCCCTTTATGTACTTCTAAAATTTTATGAGTATGAAGTTTAAATCTTCACAACTATAGAAAGACTTACAATATAAGAAAGATTGAGGTTAGTGTTTAAAATATTATAAAAATATTCTTTATATTAACATATCAAATTATATTTATTTATTAGAATTCTATATTCTCACTGTATGATTATTCAAAATTTTTAAATTGAAATACTAGTTCTAATGTATTTGAAAATTTTACTAAGAGTATTCAATTACTAATGCAGAGAATCATGCTTTCTAATGAAAAAATGTATTCATTTTGTAGACTTAAAGTTAGTTCCCAGGATATAAATCAAAATACAGGTATTATACATAAAAATATTAATTCAATACAAATATTTTTTATTAATATATATTTATTATGTTATATTTTTAAAATTATAAATTTTTTAATTTTAAAAAATATTTAAATCAGTTTCACTAAATATTGACTTTTTATTTTTGTAAGACCATGTGATATATCACATATTAGACTATAGAGATAGACACAAGACATCACACAAAAATTATATCTGAAAGCAATCATCAAATCTCAAATGCACCAGATTTGTGTTAAAATTGTTAGAACACATCTATTTTTTTAATGATGATATAATATTTTAATATGTAAATATTAAATTTATATTTATATTTTTTAAATAATTACAGACTTAATAAATATTTTAATGACAGTATAATATATATTTAAATTAAAATTTTATTTATTTATTTATTAGTCTTTTGTAAGATGCAACATATTATTAAATCTATTATTATCTTAATAAATATTACCTTAATTTTATTAATTCTATTATTATTACATTAACAAATAATTATTTAAAATTATTTCATATTCTAAAATTAATTTGCTTCTTTATTTTAATTAGAGAATAATTATAAAAATTTATTCATATATGTATTAGTATTAATATTATAAACTGTGATAATATTTGCTTATTTATTTATTAATATAATTCAATTATACATGTATAGAGTTTATCATAACTACTCTTATAATTAATATTTTATCATACAAATTATAAATTAAAATTATATTTACTTATTTATTAATAATCTTTTAAAATTGTTGGTGATAAATCAAATCCAATCATTAAACAATAGCTTATGTGTCCTGTAAAATTATTGAATACTTTAAATTTTAATGGATTTACTCTCTATTGCTTGCAACTCAAAGAAATAATGACAATTATACTACTTAGAAACATCAATTCAACATTAAGAATATACAATAGAACAAGACTCCTTATCAAGAACAATCATTAAATTATGTTGAATTATATTTATCAAAACTTGTATTTAATTATAGTCAATTATATGTTTCATTGTCTAAAATAATGTTAATAAAAGAAATAAAAATATTTATTATTAAAGAAGATAAACAAGTATATAAGATATACAAAAAATATTATATAAAAAGAAATATTTTATAATCTTTTTCACAATGATTATATTTAACATAATAATTTTTTTATCATATTAATATATTTTTATATTTAAATTATATATTTTATCTTTTAAAATAAATTAATTTAATAAAAATAAAACAAACTCGTGTAATGTACGAATATATTTACTAGTTTAAATATGTAAACTTATTTTTTTATTATAAATTTAACTTAACAATATATAATATAAACTAATAATTTTATAAGTGTAATTTTTTAATTCAAAATACATTTTAGTATTTGAAGTACATATTGAAATATAAATTATATTAAATTAATTAATATAACTTAAAATAAAGATATAATTTTATTTTTAATTAAAATTTAACTCAAAAAATTTGTAAATATTTTTTTTCTATTTAATTATTTTTATTTATTAGATAGAATTTTACTTGACAATAAAATTTTTATATTTAAAAATTTAATAAAATTTTATAAAACGTCATTCACAACAATATTATTATTTCTATTTTTAACATAATATAACTATTAATTCTAATAAAATTTCTTTAAATATAATTCAAAGATAATAAATATGAATTAGATATAATTTTAATTTATAAATTATAAAAAATATTATAATTAATTTTAATAAATAATAATTTAAGACAATTTATAGTATGAATATTTATGTTACCGTTTGTAACATAATATAACTATTAATTCTAATAAACATTCTTTAAATATAATTTAAAAATAATAAGTATGAATATAATTTCAATTCGTAAGTTATAAAAAATATTATAAATAATTTTAATTAATTTTTATTTAATACAATTTAATTAATTTTATAAATATATAAAATAACATATAGATTAATTATTTATATATAAGGGTAACTATAAAATTTTTTAATTTTAATAAATATAAATTATTTTATAAATACAGAATAATGAGTATGTGCAACATATACAACCATAAATCTCATACATTTTGTTATAAATGCAAAATAATAAGTCAAATCAATAGAAATGACTTTATATTTCGAATTTTAATGTATAAGAGTAATAAATATGTAAAATAATACATATAAAAATGACTTTGTACGTGACTTTATACATTCCAAATTTTAAAGCATAGAGTAACAAGTAAAATCACATATATATAAATGACTTATACATTTCGAATTTTAATACATAGAATAATAAATATAGTCAATAAGAGTAATTTTATACATTCTAAATTTTAATGTAGAGTAATTAGTAGTTGAAATCATAAAAATGACTCTACATTTTTTATTTTACATAAATATATAGATATAAAAGATAGATACATATAAATTACATTTTGAAATTTAAATAAGGTTTTTATATTTTTATCATATTTAAAATATTTGCTGAACCAATTAATTTAATCAATCATGAAGCTTTACCGTTACAGTGCCTTCAGCAAATATAAAGTTGTGTGGATGTACTAGATGACAACCCCTGCTGATATACACACAAAATAGGTTGAATCTATAGTCGATCAAACAAATTCGCAACACTAATATGGCGAATGATACGAAGCATTATCTTGTGATTCAAGATGTGAACACTTTGTTTTCGAATTTTCCATTCAAGCTCGTGTAAATCGTTGAGTAAATAACACTATTCTTGTCTACTAGTTAATTTGAATCTAGCTCAGGAAGGTGTAGATAAAGGAACAACTGTCCACCACCAGCTACTCCCAAGGCACCTCTCGAATCATCAGTAGTAACACATGTGACATTGCCATCTGACACCAAGGAATTGTAATTTTTAAAATTAATGAAAAATAACTTGGTAGAAATCTTTCTAACAAACAAAACACGAGAACCAGTCAACCTTCAGCTTTACATCGCTGAAACCATATCTCAAACATAAGACCTCAAAATGACACTAATATTACATTAAACCACGATTATTCGGATTATTAGAGTCTAGAGAAGAGTACCAGGAATGGCGTAGTCTAAGCAGAGTAGAAACGTGTTTATAAATGCATTCCCAATTCTCCTCAATTTAAGGAATACGATCCCAGGTGTTTTCAAATTAATATATACAATTAAATTAGGTACCACAAATAGTTTGTTGATCGGGTGACTTTATTTGTCGACATTAGATCAAATATTTATGAAATGGACTTAAGTTTCTTTCTTCTATGCAACATGTTGAAAAGTATGCTAGTCACCTTTTCAACCAAAGATGTAAGACACATCTTATTAAAAACTACCAACTCTTTTAATTCACGAAACCGAGGATTTTCTTAAATTTGGGGGTTCAATGGAAGGAAAAACATATGTAACAGGTTGGGTACGTATGTGGGATAAAGTATGTGTGAGGACTGTACCACTTTGAATAGAAATTTAATATGATCACAGAATTCTAATCGCTAATTTTAAAAGAACAAAAGAGATTTCTTGGAATTTCCTGAATATACTTCATTGTATGACTTAACTAAACTCAGTCAAACTTGTATAGGGAATAGCCATAATAGAACAAATATGTATGTTGAAATCATTGGACGATTAAGTGGCTTAATATACTTCATGGAATATTAGTACTTTGATAAGAAAGTCACTAGAAATGGTAGACACTATGATTCGTAGAAAGATTAACATCATATGCCTTCAGGAAATAAAATGTTAGAAATAAGGTTAAGAAGCTTGATACTACTGGTTTCAAACTCTAGTAAACAAAAAAGTCAAAGGAAAGAATGTAGTAAAGATCAAAAAGACCGGAGATAGGATTATGTCCATGAAGTTATTAGTTGCACAAGACACTATTAGATTCATTAGTGCTTATACTCCACAAGTTGGCTTGAAAATCCATTTGAAAGCAAAGACTTGGGAGGATTTGGAGGAGTTGATCCAAGACAATTTGCAAGGGCTCATAGTGGTTTTAGTTTTGGAGAGTTAAATTAGGAAGGAAGGTCTATCCTAGATTTCTCAATGTCTTACAACTTTAAGATTATGAACACTTGCTGTTGTAAAATATAATTAAGAGATTTATTATAATTAGAAAATTTGTTCTGTAATTAAGGATAGATTTAGCTGATTTGATTTGTACAGTTCTTATTTCCTTAATTAGGAGACTAGTAGTCTATATAAATGTATTTTGTATAGGCTCTCAATTAATTAAGAAATTCTAATATTATTCACATAATATTATGTTCCCTTTTTTCAAGTTGGTATTAGAGCTCCTAATCCAGGGGGCTCTGCTTCCGCATCTTCTAGGCAGCCTTCATTGCTACGAATCTGCGCATGTTAGCACCGTTTGTCGCAGTCCGCTACCGACCACTGTGGACCCAACCAAAAAAACACACCAGGAGGAGCGTCTCTTCAAGGTCGGCCTACCCCCAAAATTTCTCCGTCAATCGCTGGTTTTGTCTCTGGCACATGTACATCACGCGCCACCTTCCCAGCCGCCGTTTTTGACCCACCCAAACACCACAGACTTGGTCGCAAACCATCCCTGATTCTGTTCCAGAAGTCATTTCATCTTAATACAACCTCTTTTAAGTACTATTAGAAGATTCTACGTTAAGCGGTTACTGTTCAAATGGGTTATTATTTAAACTTGATACTGTTTAAACGCATTACTGTTCAAACGCGGTACTATTCATCAATTTCTGTTTCTGCATTTTTTCATTCTCCCAATATGTCTGAAGACAAGACAGCCCCTGTTTTGAGTACCAACGATCTACAGGTTTTGCAAGGCTCTTATTGCCTTGATGGGCGAAACTATTTACAGTGGGCTCAGTTGGTTCGCACAACCCTCAAGGGACGGAGGAAGTTGAGTCATATTGAAGGAGACCCTCCAGCCCAAAATATGAAGCTTGGGATGATGAAGACTCTGATCATGACTTGGCTGTGGCATTCTGTGACACCGGAGATCAGTCAGAATTGCATGTTTTTCTCAAATGCAAAGGAAATTTGGGAGAACCTTAGAAAGACGTATTCTATGAAGAAGGATACTGCAGCATGTTATGAAATAGAGAGCAAGATCTTTAATACCAAATAAGGGAGTCTTTCAGTAACAGATTACTACGGAACATTGAATGGTTTTTGGATTGAGTTGGACCAGTGTCAGAATTTGAAAATGGAGTATACAGCTGATTCAAACACACTAACAACATTCCTAGAAAAGGTGCGAATCTTTAAGTTCCTGCATGGACTAAACTCAGAGTTTGATCCAATTTGGGTTCAGATTTTGGGCAGGAATGAACTTCCTTCTCTCTCAGAGGTATTTCACATTGTATGAGGTGAAGAAACTCGGAGGTCAGTCATGCTGGAAGGAGGCAGTTCTATTGATGGTTCAGCCTTGGCTACGAACAAGAGTTCTATGAATGGTTCAGCCTTAGCTAGTGGCAAGGGTCCTGTAAAAGGCTCTTCATTTGGAAGGCCACCAATAAAAGCTAGTCGTGAAGATAGGTGGTGTAGTTATTGTAGGAAGACGGGCCACACTAAGGAGACATGTTTTAGGCTCCATGGCAAGGAGAAGGTTCTTGAGCGAAGTGGAGGGTTCAAAGGGCTTACACAACGACGTGCTAATCAGGTGACATCTGACTATGAAACTGCCTCATCTGCCCAAACAGCAGAAAATGAGGTACTAGCTCTCAGCAAAGCAGAGTTGGAACGCCTAAGGGCTCTTATGGACTCTCTTAGTAAGACATCTAGTTCTTGTTCCTTAACCATGACTGGTAAGAGTTCTAGCTTCTTATCCTTTAAGGGTTTTGATACTGAGAATATCTGGATTATAGACTCTAGTGCTACTGATCATATGACACCTCATTTTCCTTATTTTTCATACTATTCCATTTCATCTGGTAACCAACATATCACTGTTGCTAATGGTTCTCATACCCCTGTTACTGGTTGTGGCAACATTCAACTTCAATCTTCCCTTTTTCTTAAAAATGTGTTTCATGTTCCACAACTATCTAATAACCTCTTGTCTATTCATAAGATCACCGAAGATTTAAACTATGCAGTCACTTTTTTCCACTCCCATTGTGTTTCTCAAGATCATGCCACGGGGAGGACGATTGGAATTGCTAAAGAGCAGGGCAGGTTATATTACGTGCAGCATGAAGACAATAAAGAGTGCACCAAACAATAGGCACTCACATCCAGCAATCAAATGAGTTTAGAATCTTGGTCTTCCTTCCAGATATGGCTTCAGCATAGGCGTCTTGGGCATCCTCCTTTTAGTGTTCTTAAATCATTATTTCCTTTTTTGTTTACAAAAGTGTTAGTTGAGTCTTTTCATTGTGATGTCTGTCAATTTGCTAAACATCATCGAACAATTTTTCTTCCCAGTAATAATAAAAGTTCAAAACCTTTTGATCTTGTTCATTTGGATGTGTGGGGGCCTGCATCTACTCCTAATATTTCTGATGCCAAGTGGTTTGTTTCTTTTATTGATGACTGTACACGGGTTATCTGGATTTTCCTCATGAAAGATAAGTCTGAAGTTTTCCAGCTGTTTGTTAATTTTTACCAAATGGTTCAAACACAGTTTGGGAGTCCTATTAAGAGATTGCGTTCTGATAATAGGAAAGAATATGTAAATCAAAATCTCTCTAATTTCCTTAAAGAAAAAGGAGTTATTCATGAGTTAATCAGTGTGGACACCCCCCAACAAAATGGGGTTGCAGAAAGAAAAAATCGTCATCTCCTTGAGGTTACTAGAGCATTTCTCTTCCAAATGTCTGTCCCTAAGTCTTACTGGGGGGAAGCTGTTTTCACTGCCACATATTTAATCAATAGATTGTCCTCTCGTGTTCTTGATGGTATTAGCCCTATTCAAGTCATGACCTCATTCTATCCTTCTAACCCCATTATGACCAGCCTCCAAAATCGTGTCTTTGGTTGTTCAGTTTTTGTCCATGTTCATAGCACTCATCGGGAAAAGTTAGATCCTCGGACTATCAAATGTGTCTTCATAGGTTATGCCTCAAACAAAAAGGGATACAAATGTTATCAACCCCAAAGTCGCCGTGTCTATGTCTCCAAGGATGTCACATTTCATGAAACAGAACCTTTCTTCACTAGTACTCAGCATCAGGGGGAGAGTAACCTAGAAGAAGCTGAGTTCCTTGAGTTGTCATCTATTCCTTTGTTGCAAAATTCCACTCTTCTGGAGGATGACAGAGATCCTGGACCAATGCAGAATAATGAAGTTAGACGTTTTGGGATTCAATATCAGCGAAGAGAAAAACCCGACCTGGTCGAACAGCAACTTCAATTGCCGAACTGGAGGTAAGAACTCATAATCTTGAGGACACCTTAAATATCTCTTGTGATCTTAACCCGGATAATTTACCAATTGCCTTAAGAAAAGGAAAAAGATCTTGTGCCAAATATCCTATATTCCAATTTGTGTCTACTAAAATTCTTTCTATGCAACACCAAAGTTTTATTTCAGCTATTGATTCTATTATAATCCCTACATTAGTACAAGAAGCCTTAAAGGATAAGAACTGGGTTCAAGCCATAAATGATGAAATGGGTGCATTGGAAAGGAATGAGACTTGGGAGATTGTAGAGAGACCAAAGGATAAAAAAGCAGTGGGTTGTCGGTGGATATATACTATTAAGTATCACTCGGATGGCACACTGGACAGGCATAAAGCGAGGCTGGTTGCAAAAAGATACACCCAAACCTATGGGATTGATTATGACGAGACTTTTGCTCCTGTGGCAAAAATGAACACAGTCGGAATTATCCTCTCCTTGGCAGCACACTTTGGTCGGGAGATGCATCAGTTCGATGTTAAAAATGCCTTCCTACATGGAAGCTTAGATGAAGAAGTATACATGGAAATTCCACCTGGATATGGTGTTGCTGGTGGAGGAAGAAAGGTTTGCAAATTAAAGAAAGCCTTGTATGGCCTCAAACAATCACCTCAGGCCTGGTTTGGGAGGTTCACTCAGGCCATGGTATCTCTAGGGTACACACAAAGCCAAGGTGATTATACTCTCTTCATAAAACACTCACAAGACGGCAAACTCACTCTGCTTTTAGTCTATGTAGATGATATGATTATTGCAAGAGACGATGAGATGGAAAAACATAATTTGAGGAAGAAGTTGCCTGCTCAATTTGAGATGAAGGATCTCGGTAAGCTAAAGTACTTCCTTGGGATATAAGTTACATACTCCAGACAGGGTATTTTTATTTCCCAACGGAAATACATTCTTGATCTTCTTAAAGAGACTGGTAAGTTGGGTTGTAAGACCACTGGAACACCCATAGAGCAAAACCATAGAATTGGAAATGATAATGGAAGCCCAAAGGTGGATAAGACACAGTACCAGAGACTTGTGGGAAAGCTCATCTATCTATCTCACACCAAGCCAGACATAGCCTATGCAGTTAGTGTAGTTAGTCAGTTCATGCATGATCCAAGAGAAAGACACTTGCAGGCAGTAAATAAAATTATTCAGTACTTGAAGGCCTCTCTAAGGAAAGGATTGCTATTTAAAAAGGAGGGAAACCTATCCATGGAAGTGTATACCGATGCTGACTATGCAGGATCAGTTGTTGATAGGAGGTCTACTACAGGATATTGCATGTTCTTGGGTGAAAATTTGGTGACATGGAGGAGCAAGAAGCAGAATGTGGTTGCAAGATCAAGTGCAGAGGCAAAATTTAGAGCTATGGCACAAGGGGTCTGTGAACTATTATGGATGAAGATAATACTTGCTGACCTCAAAATAAAGTATGAAGCTCCCATGAGACTGGTTTGTGATAATAAATCAGCCATCAGCATTGCGCACAATCCAGTTCAACATGATCGAACAAAGCACATAGAGATAGACCGACATTTCATTAAGGAAAAATTGGACAGCAATCTTATAGCCACCGAGTACATTCCTTCAAGACTGCAGTTGACAGACATGTTCACCAAGGGACTTCCCACCAAACAGTTTAAAGATCTTACGTGCAAGCTGGGAATGACAACTATACATTCCCATCTTGCACGTAAGATCTTTAAACTGTTTGGTGGGAAGTCCCAATACATTCACCAGCTTGAGGGGGAGTGTTGTAAAATATAATTAGGAGATTTATTCTGTAATTAAGGATAGATTTGACTGATTTGATTTGTACAGTTCTTATTTCCTTAATTAGGAGACTAGTAGTCTATATAAATGTATTTTGTACAGGCACTCAATTAATCAAGAAATTCTAATATTATTTACATAATATTTTGTTCCCTTTTTTCAAGTCTTGCTTTATGAAGAGGGTGGAACATCTCATCAATTTTAAGAGTGGAGTTTCAAGGTCGCAAATTGATTTTTCTTAGGGAGGAATCTAGACAAAGGTATTTGCAAGGATTGTAAATTGATTTTAGAAGTCTTATTACACAACATACGGTCTTAGTCCTTGATGTTTGTTTTAAGAATAGTAAACAAAGAATTCGACAAGTTAGTGTTCTAAAATTAAGTGGCAACTACTTAGAGGTGAGAAACTATTTGACTTTTAGAGGCAGTTAGTAGAATAGGGTAGTTGGTCAATACAAGGTAGTGCTAATATTATTTGGGACAATATGATTACGAGGTCAAAAAAGTAGCCAAAAAAATTATAAGTGAATCTAGAGGTTTTGGATCAAAAGATAGAGTCATGATAGTATAATAAAAGTGTGCAAGAGAAGATTATGTGTTTTAAAACTTTGCATACTGAAAATCGTTTACGGTAGTTTGGTTATGTGCACAGAAGACCTTTGAAAGTGCTAGTAAGGAGAGTGGATTGCATGACTTAATCTACTAAAACGGGGTCGAGGGAGACCTAAAAGAAGTTATTAAAAGAGACCTTTTGATTAATCAGATTTCTAAAAATTTAGTTTTTGACTGAGCTCAATAACGTCGTGTGTTTCATGTAGCCGACCTCACCTAGTGAGATAAGGCTTGATTGCTGTTGTTGTTATATTGTTGTAATGTTTGTGTATTTCTGTTTTTAAATTATTGTAAGATTGATTCTAGGTTAACATCTATGTAATACTTTTGCAGTTAAATTTAATTCAAAATTTCTAGCAATATGCAAAGGATTACTTTTGTTCTTAATACATTAACTAGCTGAAGTCACTATATGATGGTGGCAGTAAGTACAATAGACATATTGGTTTATTGTTCAAATTTGAAGTAACGTCTTCCCTGCTCCTTCATTAACTATACGTAGGGATGAGTTCCATTGTAGTTGTCAATGTTTTTTGTTATACATATTTTTTTTAATTGAATTTCACTAAGACATCAAGTTTTCTAACCAGAAATTAGGGTAAAACACCGAGACATCGAGTTTGACCACACTAGTGATTTGAATCATGCAAATATGACTACAGAACTGAGTTAAGTTTATTGTTTCTGTTCTAGAAATTGCATGAGATATTATAGAATTCATTTCTGCATGTTAAGTAAATTGAAGGTACATTTTGGTCACAAGTACCATGGACAATTCCGTTACAGAAAGTTAAACAAATTTACAAGTTCTCAGTCAGGATTGAGATTACTAGTGTTTCTGCATTAGTTGTCAGTGGAAACTGCAAAGTGGCCAAAGCATATTAGAGAAAGTGGCATATTGAAACATACCTTGGAAATGATGCAGAGTACCAACCTTGGATCCTCTGGACAATTCCCACATATACACTGCACCATCACTTGTACCTACGATTCCATAACCACGCGAAACCCCAATAGCAGTAATCCTGCAGAGTTAATTTATTGAAATCTGTAAATTAATTGATAAATCTGCAGTGTAGAATAAACAACTTAGCAGCTGTTAAATAGTACTATAATGATATACCATCAGTAATTCTTTAGATCCAATTTCTTATATCCATATCACTCAAATGATATATATATATATATATATATATATAACTAATGGCTCATAAAATTTCTCCTTATGATCAAAATAATGCTAGATTTGTATGGCAGCGAAAAGTAGTAAAGACGTTAAAAGAATTTAGCAACACATGATGGACTACATTCAAATTCAGGAAACTTCACAGCACCTTGGATCCAATGGACTTCCAAAAGTTATGCTATTTTTCATTGAAAGAGCAAGCTTCCAACTTCTAAAAGCCACATCACTTGACGTTGAAACATGATCATCACAACAATCAATGTCAGAGGTAGTCGATACAAAAAGCCACATAGCAACATCCCCTTTCCCTGATGATGGAAACGAACAGATCTCACTTTGTTCTGAGTACCACGAATTGGTTGCTTCTAAAAGTGGATAGGCATGCTCCTCCATGCTAGCATAGCTGTATTCTGAGCTTTTTGTTTGCCAATGGAACAAGCTTATAGGAAAGAACTCATTTATTGGACTTTCTAAAGCAGAGAATCTTGAAACACAATCGAGGTTAACAATATCCCTGGCAAAAGCATTGAAAATATTCCGGATGAGATATTATCATATTACTGTAGCTGTATAGCCAGATTAAAAATTACTTAATATTTTCTACAGTAAATACTTCTCCTTTCCCTTTCCTATTTCTTACAAGTGTTGCAATGCATAGGACATTGTGTTGAAATATATCAGATCTGATTTGTCTGGATGAGATTCCAGCATCTTATCTTATTCCCTGAATTATTTCCTCTATCATTTCCTTTGTCATCTATTTCTGGATTCATTTTCTCTCTTTTGTGGATTGCTTTCCTTGTTTTCCAAATTTCAATATTTTCCTTATTCATTTATTTGGTCATTATATATTGGAATGGCTGAAATGTAGCCGAACAATTCCGTATATGTATCAGAGGTTTATGTCAATAAATGACAGAAAAATAATATTCTTCTCTGAAATTCTACAAATTCAATAATAAAATAAGAATAGAATATGAAATGATGGCATGACAATATGGTAGGAAAACCAGAAGTAATGTATTTCCAAAAATTTGAAATAGATAAACCTAAGATAGGAAATCTCCACTTGATGAAGATTTACAAACCAAAGAGAGGTGAGGTATGGAAGAAGTCAACAGACACAAAGTTCTTTGTCATCTGAACAACCTGTGACTTGTATAAAATAGATAATACAACCTGACAAACTATTAATTGATGACCTAAATGTTACTAGTTACACTGGACAAAAATGCAAGCAAATTTATGCAACAAATATGACAAATTGATATTTGATAGCACGTCTCATTAAAATGTAAAATCCACTTGTAAACCCCACATCAATTATGACCAATTTGGCAATACACACATTAGTACTTGAGAATGTATAAATACCAGCATGGTCCATAAGAAATTGATAGGAGTGGACATGTGGGCTTGGGTCGTGAGGAAAGGCCCAAGGCATGGAGGGTGTATGTTAAGAGAAATCGGGCTAAGAATAGAAAAGATGAGGTGGCAGAAGTTGTAACAGAATTGCCAAACAAGGGGGAATGAAGATTTGGGAGAATATAGGGAATGAAGAGGGGAGAGAGAGATCACTTTTTTGGATAGGGAAATTTTGTTATGGACAGGGAACTGTAGTCTCTCTGTAGGATCGGTGCTCTGTGGCAGTGGGGTTGTTTATTTCCTCCTGTATTGCTTTCCTTTACGTTAAATAATATAACCATTCCCAGACTTTTTTTTTCAATTAATTCTGCAGTCTAATATCTGGTCCCTACAGAAACTATATTAGTTCTTGAGAACGACTAGTATGTTATGTGCCCAAGAACTAATATGACCAACGTGTGTGGTTCCTTTAGGACCTGAGCTGGGATTTTGCATTCTCAATGACTAATGTTGCTGCCAAACATTTTAGGGATGAAATATATGTGAGGCTATAGAGCAATTCAAACAATCTACAAACCCAATGTTATCAAATTTAAAGTTTGAGTGAAGCTAATACATTGGGAAACCCTTCCAAGGAGAATGAAGACAGCATACCATAAACTAAACTCCCCACAACTATTATAACCGACAACCAAATGAGTACACTTTGGAACTTTCTTCAACTCCACAATGCCAGGGGACATGGAGCCATCAGCTGGAATAATGAAGTACTCTAGCTTTTCACTGCCAAAATGAGAATACAAGGGTGAACAAGCTAAGTTGTATGCACCACAACCAAAATTATATATATTTAATTACACTAGCCATATAATCAACAATATTGATTTGAGATAGATAATACAGTACATTATTGACCAAAAAGAATATATTCTATAATTACATTTTACAAAGGTATAGCTCATCAATAATCTTGGCTTGTGCTCTTCTAGAAAAGAGGTCTGTAAAACTAATGGAAGAACCCAAGTCATAGAGTCTGAGCAAATAAATGTCAATAAAATTTCAGAACCTTTTAAACCAAGAAAAAACGTCATACTATCTCAATACTAGTTTTCATTCTTGTGCAATCTTCTATGAAAAACAAAAGGAATATCCATGCTTTCAGCTACAAATGCAAACATATAAGAACTCAACAATATAATGAAAACAAATTAAACACTTCAAAATAATCAGATTTCCAAAGGGACATAAATGACTCTGAGGGTAATGCAAGAGCAAAGAGTGTCATTAGAATTACCTCCATGTTGAATTCATGACCCACACCTGCAGTCTCCCACTATCTCCAACAGAAACAAGTCGGTTAGGCTCACAAACCAATATACAATGCACACTGTCAACAGTTTCCAATGTTGTTATAACTGATACATAACCATGTTCTACTTCAACAATCTTTAAAGCATTCTTCAAAGAGCAGACTGATGTACATGTTGAGCAAGAACAATCAATTTTTCCTTCACTGGGATGAAATGATATTTAGTATTCAGTTAGTCTATTTAACTTCAAAGTTATTAAATACCAATTGAAACTTACAGAAACAGTTAACCTGCAATTGGGGGTTTTTATGCTGCCCATTAAGACGATATGTTGTCCATCAGGAGTCAACTGCACCCCAGATCTTTCCACCATAGTCTAGCATAAAATACAATAGATTTTCACAGTGAGCATTTACCTATAGAAACAGTTAGTATAAATGAAAATGGAGAACAGATTCAAAATGAACAAAGGAAATTAACTTACTTCTTTTATGAAGTTGTGTTTTGGATCTGGTAACAGTATTGAGCAGTGAGCCATGACAGAAGGGCACCCCAAACTGGGTTCATTAATAGCTACCTTGTAAGTAAACAGGGTCCTTTGCTGACCCATCAGAAGGCCACATAAGACACAAACATGGATTTCATCCTCTCTTGTTCTTAAAAATAATGATGAAACAGGCATTGGATGCACGTAGCATCCCACAAACTTAACACTGCTGCCCAGATTATTCTTGAGCTCCTGGCTTCTCAGGGACAATGGTTCTGAAATCAATTGAGCCTCCTTGGCACCAACACAAATATTTTCACAGGCAAGTGGTGTTGGATTCTGAGATGATGTTAGGTTTGGTTCTACTAGGTTGCTATGTTCACCCTGAACATCATTACGAGTTTGAGGTGTTTCTTCTCGTAATCCCACAGAATCATCTGGTTCACATAGTTTATCATTTGAATTGTTCATTTGGATGATTTCTGGGACGGGTAAAGTGCCTTTGGCAGTATACATTTCAGTGCTAACAAGTTTAAACTTGTCCCAATCAGTACACTCAATGACTGCACAATTTTTTTGGAAGGGAATAGCATTTTGGAACTTTCTTCTGGTGTATACTAAATTTGGCAACTGAGAAGACATAAGTTTTTCAGCATTTACTATTTTACCCACAACTTCACCTTGTGACTTTTCTGTTTCCATATGACAGATCTTTGTTTTTACACCTGAGAATGCATTGCTAACACCTACATTGTGTTAAAAAACTGGATCAGACAAAACAACAATTCAAGCCTAGTTACAGCCGATTAACATTCATGCTTGACCTGACACCAAAATAAGCAAATAGTTTGCTGCAACCTTGATGAGTTATGTTGGATCAACATGTGATTGGGTTGATGGCAACTCAACACATGTTCTATAGACATAGTTAGTACAAGTATGGGGTGATGACCAAATTTCTAAAGTTAAGGTGCACAAGTATATATCATACAGAAATATAAAAGCAAGAAATAAAGTAATAAAATTAAATATAAATACAATTTCTATAATGTTCTAACTCAAGTAATGGCACCTCCATCATGTCTTCTCAAAAATAACAGGAAATAACTTAAATTTTTATGATGATGACACTTTAAATTGGACAATTGTTTATGAAGCTTTTGGAGTTGGAGAACCTTGAACATATACTAGGAGTCATTCTAAGAAACTGAAAGAATCCATCAAGTGGTATTACTATTAAAGTTTCAAAAGTTTCCATGATAACGTCATGTTCAACAACAAAAGGAAAAAAAAAAAGTGATTTAAGATGATGATGAAGAAGAACTAGAAGATGAAGACATTTTTGAGGAAACAGAAGATGAAATGGAAATTAATCTTCCAAAATCTAAGGGAGAAGAGGAGGAGGGATATTCCTTAGTAGATGACTATATGGATGAAGAGAAGGACTAGATAATTAATCTTTATCTTTTTATTATTTTCCATCACTTTGTTTTCTTAACTCAACATTTGATGAAATTTTATTTTATATTGAATTATGCTTTGAGACTTATGTACAAAAGTTGTATTAATACCTTTATTTCATTTCCTATGACCTGCATCATTTTTTTTATATATTTTTGTAGATATAATAATATATTATGTTGTTTCATTATGATCGTCATGCTTCTTCCAAAACCTGCCATGGCATCCACCATAATTTGATGGCAGATTTTTGGCCGTCTGCCATGACCCACCATCTGCCATGACCCACCATCTGCCATTGATAACATTGATATATAAAGCACAAACATCGCTGCCCAAGGAAGTGTCACAGTGTTGAACCTGTTTCCAACAATGACAGCTCTGTATGAAGAAAGACTAAATTTGGAGGATGTGAGTTGTAGATTATAGAGCTCCCAAGAGTGTCATTGTCCCTGACAAGTATCCAATACCTGTTACTGAAGAGTTACTTGATGAACTATAGGAGCTTCTTACTTTTCCAAGTTCGATATAAAGACAAGATACCACCAAATTTTGGTAAGCAAAGAAAATATTCTTAAATTAGAACTCATAATGGACAATGAATACTTAGTTATGCCATTTAGCTTGATGAATGCTCCTACCACTTTCCAGTCTTTAATGAATGATGTGTTTAAAGCATTGTTTAAGTCAACATGGTTTGGTGGTAAATCAAAAGAAGGCATCTCTTTGGCATGAGAGGTGGAGTATTTAGGCCATGTGATTTTAGAAAAGGAGTATCCATGGATCCCTAGAAGGTTTAGGGGCTGTTGGAGTGACCAGTTCCAAGAAGTTTAAAAGGAGTAACGGGATTTCTTGGATTTACAGGAAGTTCATTAAAGATTATGGAAAAATTGTCAAACCTTACTTTTATACAACACCTATGAGTTGTCAAATATGTGACTTATGAGTTCTACATGACTTTATGAATCTTAAATTTATGTTTACTTAAATGTTTGTTGAGATTTAAAAATTATGATCCACTTACAATTCATGATATGATCCACCAATCCTACACTCCCCTTCCATTTCAATGTTGAAACTTGATTTTGACAAACTTGGTTAAACCCTTCATGACAATATTTATCTATACTTCAGAACTTTTTTTAGTGATGCCAGATATTAATTCATAACCACATTACCTCCAGTAAATTCCAGAGCACTTGACTCGTCCTTTTGCAAAGAATTGTAACCAAAATGCACCGGATGTTTTTTCAAATCTGAGCAAGCATTATCACTTCTTTCAGAAATATTCCAATCCTTTGGAGACATGTCATCTATAACAGATTCAGGAATGCATACATCACAATCCTGAGGCCTGTCCTTAAAGTCCAACACTGAAGCATGGTATGTGGAAGTTCCATTTGCCAGATCTTGATCAGGAACCTGTTCAGAACACATTTCTTTATTCAAACTAGATCTACCAGCTTCAGCAATATCAGAAGATAAGATTTCCTGATTGGTTTTAAAATCATCACATGGACTATATTCAAAACTATCCGGAATAATAAACTTCATATGTTCAGAATTAGGAGTATTTGAATGTTGGTCTGTATGTGGCCCATGTATCATTTCCCCCTGTTTACCATATGCAGCCTCTGTCATTACTACATCTGCAGTATAAACATATTTTTCAATAACCACAAGGTGAATAGGAGGATGCAAGTGTATCAAATGTATTGATCTATGCCAGTCATTAATAAAACTAATAAAAAAAAATATCAGATAAGTATATTACCAGATGATGGTATATCCAAAATACATCCAACTTCATTCCGTTCTTCCTTGAAATTCATCTGAGAAGGAAACATATCAGAAGGACAAATGGTAAACTCCTTATCTGTGGAAACATTATTTAGCAAAGGAACTGCTTGAGGAAGTAGAAGTGACATCATTGACTTTGCCACATCCTGGCCACCTGAACCAAAATTACTTTTTTCAAAGCTTGGATGTGATTTAGATTCGAGCATTTCTTCATGTTCTGCTGCATTTAACAAATCTCTGGAGTTGATCTCATAATCATATACTGTCTCATTGTAAGCATTCTTTTCCAGTTTATGAGAGGCAGACTCAGAAGCATTTTCTGCAGTGCACCAGAGTAAGTGATCTAGAATCAACAGGAAAATGGAGAAGAGAGAGAGAAATATGAGAGAGAAAGGAGATGTTAAAGGACAGAGTGTTGTAGAACACTGCAGGGTTAATAAATAGAAAAATCCTAAATACTGATAAATAAGTTTGAGTTTTTCACAAAAGGAAAAAACTGCATTAGAAAAAGAAAAAACAACCCCTGAATAGTGTATCAATATTTATCCACAAAGGTCTTACATTTGACAATATCACAAGACATTTCACATTCTCATTCTGTCAAGAACAAAATCAATTCTAGCAAAATCAAATAACTGAGTATGAGCAACATCTAGGCCCATATGCCTTTCAACAACCAATAAATGAATAGGAGGTTGCAAGTGTGGAGAATTAATATAATGAAAAGTAAGTACAAACAAAATGTAAGTACCTTGCTCAAAATCTATGGTATCAGGAACACAAAGATCAATGTCAATACAACCAACAGATTCTTTAGAGCATGACTGCATCAGCTCCTTGTCTTCTGAACTCACCAACAATGTAGATATTTTCAACTCCACATCATGTGACCCACGAAGCTGCATGAAGTTAAGAGCTTTTCTTCTATAACAAAGTAGCCAATAAATTTTGACTTAAACAAAATTTTTCAGAAAATTTTAAACAAAAGATATCAATCTGCATTAGATAAAACAAATCACTTCCAAGTAGGTTTATTAAGATCATCATAATATAGGAAAACCATTTGATAGATTACATTTTATAAAGCTAGAGCAACATGTTTCCAATGAAAATTATAAGTTCAAAGGTAGGCTTACAGGTTCTACTGTGGACAAGTTTTCAGTTACTCCCATAGTTTTGCAATGTGAAGAATACAAAAACCCAGTCAGTCTCTTTGAAGGCACATCTCCCTCACTTTTATTGTTACAGACGTCAATAGGATTCAATAGCAACCGATTTTTGGACGAAATGCAATTACTGCTTTCACCGATGCAGGACATTATTTGCAATGGGGCTGATTCACCAATGCCATTGTCAGCCCCATTCACTTCTCCTGAACCATGTTGAATTGTATAACTCCCCTGACCAAGACTCTTTTCATTCTTTACATTAGAAGTTCCACTGCTGCATGTGAGTTCTAGAGACTGAGGTCTAGCTTGTATTTTTATATTTTTATTTTTTAGTTCACATCTGCTTCTCTTCCTTGTAACACATGGTTTTCCCAGGCAAAGTAGTAAATCAGGATATGCGCTTACATTTGGGAAGTAATCATCATGATCTGGTCTAGAAACCGTATCACAGATGTTTGGGGATACCAATCTCTGTTCTGCTATTCCATTTATATCTGCCACCAGTTCTCGGAGCAATCTCTGGATAAAGGGATTTCGGAACCCAAAAAGCTGCATGTGAAGAAAATAGAAGAAACTCTATTAAGCATAATGAACAATTAGGGATTAAAAATAACATAGTATGAACAATGGATGAATAATTGTGTAATAAAATAAGAGGAACAAAAAGAAAAAAAGGAGAATTATGAGATTGATCATCATATCGACTGCAACTGTTGCAGAATGAAGGTACGTAGACACATACTTAACAAGTTCAGATCTCCTTATGCAGAAAAAGTTAACTGAAGAGAGAAAAGAAAGGTTACAATACAACTATAGAGGAGAATAAGGTATGCTTATGAGCAAAAACAATAAATAAAAAAAAAAACAGCAAAATTAACCAAGGTCATTAGTACAATAAGCTATCCAACTTCACTCCATATCTACCTGGAAGACTTGTTAAAGAAACCATGAACAGAATGAAAGAGAAGTCACAAAGACAATCTTTTTACTTAGAAATGTTTTGAAGCACAAATCACAAAGCTTTGAGAAATTATTAATGCACGACATAATTCCAACATGAGATAAGTGGCATTTTGATAATAGTTCTCAAGGCCTATACTATTAATGGTGAGCTTATGAATTCAGTGTATGTCCTGGGACAAGATAAAAACATATGCCTACAAGATTATTCCATCATACTCAAGGTATCAAATGTCAATCATATATCCATCTTTTGTACTTTACTATCTCTTTACCTTTCAGGTGTAGACAATCAAAAATTGCACTAAATAGGAAACACCACACACACACACACAAATATACAGATAGGTAAGAGTAGAAACACAACCAAGAAATAAAAAGTGACAGATAATACTTTTTAGTTTAAGCTGGAAAATTATAATGAGCATTTACTTATAATTACCACTACCAACAGCAATTTGAGTTCTGAAATTTAATAGCAGTTGTTTTGCTAAGATATGTTACAAGAAATTAAATATCAGTGATTTATTAGCGAATGCCATGAGATAACGTTGACACCTAGGGTACATTTGGGAATGTGATGTGAATGCAAGTAAACTCCTAACTAACTCTTCTAACAGGATTGTGAGCGGTTTTATCTCTAACAAGAAGTTTTCTTGTAGGGATAAAATAGTGGAGGTGCTAACAATGAAAGCTTGCCTCTTTAAAATCAAATTCATAAAATTAAGAATTGTCCCAGTTTGTTCTTCATTGCATGCATAACACCTATTATTGTTAGATACATTAGAAGAAGATCAAAGAATGCAGGGGAAAACAGCATGCTACCAGAGTACTCAGTTTAACCTTTCTTAATGAGAAAATTTTAACAAAGCCCATAAATTAACTTTTATGTTTTAACATTCACATCCCCGGTTTATAATCCTCTCTATTATTGAATATTCAGTCACCTAGTTAACATAATTACAAAGATAAACTTCCCTATTACTATAATTACATATATTTAACACTTTTAAAGAGACAAATGATATCACTATCATGGATGAACCGATAATCAGCATGACTGACTAGTAAAAAATAATATAAGAAACAGAAAGCACACTGTAGAGTATGGATGAAATATCATGTTATAGCAAATAGATATTATACATAATCATGACACAAAAGGGAAATTTCAATATGCTGCCAGAACTACCTATATCAAATAAGAGTTTTTGTCATATAACAGCCCCACATCCACTAAAACATGATATTACTTGTAAATGTAATTGTTGTAAATTATTTTCTTATCAGCAAAGATTAATAGTTACAGTAGATCACGCTTCATTTTAGTCAAGTATTAACTTATATTAATAAAATGATGTACAATATAATTCAAAAATAAGATGACATTTTTTTCATTAAAATATATTTCAAAATGTCTTTACTTCATTTTAACAAATATTTAAATAAACACAAAGATTACAGCAAAACCATAACTAACGTTAGACATGCTTGAATTAGCTTAAAAAAGGAAGGATTTATCAAAAATTCAAGAAACATTCTGGAAAAATAGAAGAAATTTCCTGAAGTTTTTCAATTTCAATTTATCAACAGCACCAATTTCTACCTCCAAGCCATCCATCTTAGACGAAAGTCTCTTCCCATGCCAAATCTTCATGCGGGGGCAGCATTTCTTCTTAAATTCCTCCCATACTTGGTCTGGAGTTTTCCCAGAAGACAAACACCCATCATCAGATGAAATCTGCATAAATATTACACAACAGAATTTGCATAATAACACTCAAACCAAATTCTGGACCTTTAGTATATTGAAACAAAAGTTAAAACAAATATAAACCATATCAAGCCTGAATACAAACCAAAAATCTAGGGCCATTGACACCTTCATGAATTTCCATCTTATATGTGGCCCCATTATGAGCTCTAACAGCTTCATAACCAACTGGATATGGATACCGATCTTTTCCCTACAAAGTCATCATTGTCAATGCACTACATCAGTCAGCAACGGAAAACAAACTAACACACAAGTGTTTTGCAAAAAACTACTGCACAAATCCCAATTTCCCATGCAATGATATCCTCCCCATTCATCTATTGTCCTTTTCTTCTCTTTTCTATAGATGCATCACATAAACTGCACCACTTCTTCTTCACTATCATCTTTTTCTACAGATCCTCCTCTTGAAGTGAGACAAGAATCCATAGGATGAAAAGGTCATGGTTCATCACTAAATTACTTCTACAACACTACTACTACAAACATAACAGCGACCACATATCATTAATTTCACTGTTTGAAACATTCAAGTTAAATTCCATTTCCCACTCTATCAATCTCTCAAATAGCTCCCCACATCATTTATCATCTGTTAGAGACAAGTTTCTGGAAGGGCTGAAGGTTTATAAGCGACAAAACTATAGGAGAGGAATTAGGAAATAGGCTGTTATATTCTGTTTAGGATTTATCTTTTGTTATTGTTTTCTGTTTTTAGTAGTTTAGGATTTATCTTTTGTTATTGTTATTGTTTTCTGTTTTCAGTAGCTAGGAGCATGATTTTAGGAAACAAGAATAATTTAAATAAATGGGGTTACAAATTGGAATGGGCATCTTGGGTAATTACTTCATTCTTAGGGCGCAGAGCCGCTTGAGAGCTCTCTTCCCATTGTTGTTTTCTGCTCAACTGAGCCAATTCAATACATACTTTAACATTCTGTTTTTCATACCTATCAATTGGTATCAAAGCACTTTCTTGGTGCTGAGATTCTTGTTGAAGCGATGGATTTGGAACGCTTAGAGCGTGTAGAGAAGACGCTAGAAGAACTGATGCAACGAATGGCAGTTCGGGGCCGAGCGCGCCGCCGCGATAGATCCCCACCGAGGACCCCTAACCGCCAAGATGCAGGACGGTGGAAACCCACCTCCAGGTCCGAGGCATCAGTCTCACCGGAATATGACGAGAGACGATCTTCTGTGTCTCCTCGCGACCACACCTACTATCAAGACACCTTCCGGCGTCAGCACCACCATTCCCCATTCCGAGATCATCGCCGCAACAACTCTCCCGTGGCAGACCATGATCAGAAGATAGAACTTCCCATCTTCTCCGACGAAGACCCAGTCAACTGGCTGGTGAAGATCGAAAGATAGTTCACCCTCCAACGCATCGAGAGGGATGAACGCCTTGACATTGTGCTCCTCGCCTTGGAAGGGGTGGCTCTAAACTGGTTCTATGCTTGGGAAGAACAGACAGTGATCTCTTCGTGGCGCCAATTCAAAAGTGCCCTGCTGGGCCGCTACCAACCAGGCACGAGCAAGGACCCCTTTGGAGCACTATTCCGCCTGAAACAATTTGGTCCCATGCTTGAATATATAGAGGAATTTGAGAAACTGTTGCGACCTCTCAAGCATCTTGATATGGAGGTGCAGATCGGCATCTTCCTCAATGGACTCCAGGAGGAGATTGGTGCGGAATTGAGGAGCTTGGAGCTAGAGTCGTTATTGGCGATGAAGGAGATGCTTCTAGAAGAGAGAAATCGCGCCTGGAGAAATAGTCAAGTGACACCTTGGGCCAAAGGGGCTGGTAACAGTAGGCCCCATAATTCCCAAAAGAGAAACCCTACAGTCAGCAACATGGGCCCATAAAACAACCAAAGACTTCCAACCCAAAAGAGACCCACCCCAGCTAAACCAAACACAACCTAGATTATCCCAAGCTGAAATTCAAGAACGTAGCCGTCGCGGGTTATGTTTCAAGTGCGGGGACCCATGGAACAAAGAGCACATCTGCAAGTATAGACAGTACCGACTTGAACTAGTAGAGGAGAACGAAGAGGAAAAATTAGAGGAAGAGCGGGGTGAGGCTTCAGGAGGGGAGGAACCTTTTCTAGAAACCAGACTTCGAGTACTCAAGATCTCATTACAAAGTTTGAAAGGATTCACCACTAAGAAGTCCTTCATGGCAAGGGGACCCTCCAAGGCCATGATGTCACTATTTTGGTAGATTGTGGAGCAGAGGATAATTTCTTACACACCGGGCTGGTAGAAAAGCTAAAGCTGAAAGTGACCGAGACTCTTCCATATCGCGTGGAGCTGGGAACAGGTACAGAACACCAAAGCAGAGGAGTGTGCAAGGGAGTCCAACTGGAGGTACAGGAGGGGACCATTACACAAACATTCTACCTTATCCAATTGGGCAGTGTGGACGTCATCCCGGGTATGGATTGGTTGCAAGGTTTGGGAACAATCACAGCCAACTTTTCTCAGCTGTATATTAAATGGCGCAAAGGGGCTAAAATCCGGGTACTACGAGGAGACCCATCCTTAGGAAGAAAAGGGGCTACATTCAAAACAACGTTGAAGGTACTAAAGGAGGAGAGCAAAGGCATTTTGGTAACTACAATAAAAGCTCAACCTGAAGAGGAGGTCTCGCAGAAGATACCAGAGGCCATGAGTAAACTATTGGAGGAGTTTGTTGACATAGGCATAGTGCCAAAGGGGCTTCCCCCTGTGAGAGAATGTGATAGAACTCAAGGACAAGTGAGTTCTAATCCTAATACCGATATTGTTGTACATAATTTTCCAACAACAAAAGCTAAACCTTGGATAGTCTATTCTAGAAAAAGGAAGCAGTCCAATTAAGAGTTAACTGTTATTTTCTGTTACATGTTTTGTTACTTTCTGTTAGTTATCCAAATTGTATATAACTGAAGGGAATGAGTAAGGTAGGCAGTTTCTTGGAAGTTAGTCAGAACTTGTGGCAGAGGGATAGCCTCTGAGGAGTTAAACTCCGGGGTACTCATTGTACTCAAACTTACAAATTCTTTCATTCTTTAATAAAGGATTTCAATGTGTCTTCTTTTTCTGTAAATCCCAACAGAATGCGACCACGCTATAATCATTAAGGAAGGAGCTTCCATACCAAATATCTGGCCCTATCATTATCCTCACTCACAAAAAAATGAGATTGAGAAGTTAGTGGATGAGATGCTGGAAGCTGGTATCATAAGGCCCAGTATTAGCCATACTCAAGCCCAATATTACTGGTAAAGAAGGATGGGGGATGGAGGTTTTGCGTAGATTACCAAGCTCTGAACAGTATCACAAGACCGGACAAGTTTCCCATTCCGGTCATTGAGGGTTGCTGGATGAATTGGGAGAAGCTCGGATATTTACTAAGCTGGACCTAAAATCTAGTTACCACCAGATTAGGATGAGGGAAGGTGATATCAAAAAAACAGCATTTCGAACACATGAGGGGCATTATGAATTTTTGGTAATGCCTTTTGGGTTAACCAATGCCCTTCCACATTTCTATCACTCATGAATCAAGTACTCCGACCTTTTTTAAGAAGGTTTACCTTAGTTTTCTTTGATGACATTTTGATCTACAGTCGAACAAAGGAAGAGCATGTGAGGCAAGTGAGGGATGTGCTTGAACTATTGAGGCAAAATCAGTTGTACATCAACAAAAAGAAATGTTGTTTTATGGTTGCCAAATTAGAATATTTGGGGCATATTATCTCTAAGGAGGGCGTAGAGGCTGACCCCAAAAAGATTGAAGCGATAATTAAATGGCCAGCACCAAGGGATGTTAAAGGATTAAGGGAATTTCTGGGGTTAACAGGGTATTACAGGAGATTTGTGCAGGACTATGGGAAGATAGCGTGGCCTCTCACACAATTATTGAAGTAAGACGGGTTTTGCCGGAACTTAGAAACCCAAACAGCCTTCGAAATTTTGAAGAAAACCATGACCTCTTTGCCGGTGCTAGCAACCCCCAGTTTTGACAAAGAGTTCGTATTGGAAACTGACGCCTCAGGGACTGGATTGGGAGCTGTTTTGATGCAAGAGGGAAGGCCTAATGCCTTTTGGAGTCATACTCTCTCAAACCAAAACCAAATGAAATCTGTTTATGAACGGGAATTAATGGCAATTGCCCTGGCAGTTCAAAGATGGCAGCACTACTTACTTGGGAGAAAATTCATGGTGCATACAGACCAAAAATCTCTCAAGTTCTTAATTGACCAGCGAGTATTGGGGGAAGGGCAGCAAGGATGGATATCTAAACTCATGGGCTTTGAATTTGAAATCAAATACAAGGCAGGGAAAGAAAATAGGGTTGCGGATGCTCTCTCTCACAAGTTTCAATTGGCAGCCCTTTCCACAGTTACCTTCTCGGAATGGGCGGGACTAGAAGAAGAAGTTCAACCGGATGAGAAGCTAGCTGGTGTAATACAGAAAATTATACAAGGGGAGACTTCAGTAACCAACTATGAGCTGAGAGATGGACAACTCTTTTATAAAGGTAAGCTGGTTATTCCTAAGAATTCTTCCCGAATCCCTCTAGTACTCCAAGAGTTTCATGATTCAGCCATAGGCGGCCACTCGGAATTTTTCAGAACCTACAAGAGGATTGCAAGTTTAGTTTGGTGGGAAGAAATGCGGAAGACTATTCATGAGTATGTGGTTGCTTGTGATACTTGCAACCGGAACAAATACCAGACCCTAAGCCCAGCAGGACTATTACAACCTTTACCAATTCCCCAACAGGTTTAGGATGACATTTCCATGGATTTCATTGGAGGACTACCTAAATCACAGGGCTGGGATACCATCCTAGTGGTTGTCAATAGATTAACCAAGTACAGTCATTTCATTGGCCTAACTCATTCTTACACCACCAAAGATGTGGCTGGAGTTTTCGTAAGAGATCGTAAAGTTGCATGGGTTTTCAGCCTCAATTATCTCAGATAGAGATAGAGTATTCATGAGCTCTTTCTGGAAAGAATTATTTAGAACAACAGGAACTCAACTAAGATTCAGTTCAGCCTACCATCCCCAAACTGATGGCCAGACTGAAGTGATTAATAGATGTTTAGAAACATATCTGAGGTGTTTTTCCAGCACTAAACCTAAACAATGGGCTAGGTGGTTGAGCTGGGCTGAGCTGTGGTTTAACACCACATTCCATAGTTCGACAGGAACCACTCCTTTCAAGGCATTATATGGAAGATAACCACCAGCCATCATCCGCGGGTAGGAAGGCGCATCAACAGTGGAGGAGGTCAACATTGCATTAGCTGAAAGAGACCAAATACTTAGAGAATTAAAAGGGCAGCTGAACAAAGCACAAGATCGAATGAGGGCGCAAGCTAACAAAAATAGGAGGGAACTAGAACTAGTAGCAGGAGAGATGGCTTACTTGAAAATCCAACCTTATAGGATGAAGTCTCTAGCGACGAAAACTAATCAAAAGCTCAGCCCTAGATATTATGGTCCTTACAAGGTATTGGAGAAAATCGGCGAGGTCGCCTATAAGTTAGAACTACCAGAAGAAGTAAGGATACACCCTGTTTTTCATGTATCCTTGCTCAAGAAATGTGTGGCAGCAGACGTACAAAGTCAACCTTTACCAACTGGCCTGAATGAGAATTGGGAATTGATGGTTCAACCCACTGAAGTCCTGGCAATGCGGACTACCAACCACGGAGACAAAGAAATGCTGATCAAATGGAAGGGTTTGCCGGATCATGAGAGCACTTGGGAGGTGTCAGAAGATATCCAAATCGAATTTCCTGAATTCCACCTTGAGGACAAGGTGATTGTTCAAGGGGGAGTATTGTTAGAGACAAGTTTCTGGAAGGGCTGAAGGTCTATAAGCGGCAAAACTACAAAAGAGGAATTAGGAAATAGGCTGTTATATTCTGTTTAGGATTTATCTTTTGTTATTGTTTTCTGTTTTCAGTAGTTAGGAGCATGATTTTAGGAAACAAGAATAGTTTAAATAAATGAGATTACAGATGGGAATGGGCATCTTGGGTAATTCTTCATTCTTAGGGCGAATAGCCGCTCGAGAGCTCTCTTCCCATTGTTGTTTTCTGCTCAACTGAGCCAATTCAATACATACTTTAACATTCTATTTTTATACCTATCATCATCAAATTTCAATCTGAAGTGTGTTGTTATCATAGTCTATCTCTACAGAAATATCTACGATGCTACCATGTGTATGTAAATATAAATATATCATATATATGAAAGTTCTGGAGAGTCCACAATTATTTATGTAGTCATCTTAGAGAGGGGGAAAATAATTGTAAGATATTCAGTTAAATGCTGATGGAGAATAAAGCAAATAATTTTACTTCAACAAAGCAATTCTACACTACAAAGCAGTTCAAGAGAATAACCTACAAATACTTCATCGAAAAAAGATAACGAACAATGTGATTGTTATCGAACTGGAAATTGAAAGGGAAAGGGAAAAGAAAGAATGGTATCAAACCCTAGAAGTGGTCCAATACTTCTTGTCCCAGGGTCCTTTGTAGAGGGAGCCGATAGAGATGATTTCAAGGCCATCGGTTCTCTCTTCTGCATCTGCTAGCGCGGGTTTCTCAGCTGTTTTTCTAGTCTTCGCCATTGAGGTGATACGAGTGAGCAAGTGTGTTTGTGTGTGTGAGAGAGAGAGAGTAGATGGCGGGAAAGGCGCTTTGGGGTTTAAGAACGTAGCGCTTCGTTCCTTTTACACTTCAAAAAATAATTTTAAGGAGTTATTTTGTCAAAACAATTAGAAAAAAGTACCAATAATTTCTAATATAATCATGCAAACTTTTTGAGAGAAAAAATTAAATTCTAATTTATCCCTTTATATTTAAAACAAGTGTATGTATAGAAAACATATACATATAAAAATAAGTCCTGTCTCAAAAAATAATTTTTTATTCTACAGCATTCATATTAAATATAAAAAAGATAGATATTAATTAATATATATTTGTATTAATTTATTTAATATTAAATATTAAATAATATTTTTTACATTACAACCTTCATATTAGATAATATATCAATGATTTATGAATATTTTAATATTGATCAAATTATAGAATTATAATAAAAAAAATCAAATATTAACTAACTAAAAAAGCCAAATAGCAATATCATTTAATATCTTCCTTAGTCAACAATCTTTGTTATTACGAAACAAATCAATGATGAGATAGAATTATCTTCAATTAGAACTAAAATAGAGTTTAACAAAATTTTATAAGATATAGCCTCAATATCATCTTAAACATCCCAAGATGAAAGTGAAAAAAAGGTTCAAAATAGCGAAGATCCTAATGACTTCTTTAGTAATGGAGATGACTCGTTAATAATCTTCTTCTTTCTTGATGAATCCATATTTTTACTGATATTTTAGCATAATTCTAGCTCATTTAATAAGAAAAATATATGAAAAAAGCAGAAAAACTCAGAAAAAGAGAATGATTGAAAGTTTTATTTCAATTTGTAGTTATTTTCGCATTTGTAGAATTTATGCTTAGTTCTTAAGGAATTTATCTTGTTTTCAAGGAATAAGCTGAGCAAAAGTCATGGAAATGGAGAATCAATGGAAAGGAAGAGGAAGAATGGCAATGTTGGACTCCAAAATACAAGAATTAAGGGTTGCAGCTTGGGCGTGATCACTATTGTTAGTGAAAGTGATCATTCCAGAGCCTAAAGGAGAAGAAGAGCCTTGCGTAATCACTTTTATTTACAAGAGTGAGCGTTGCCAGTGTGCGTTATCACTTTCGCCAGCGAAAGTGAACGTTTCAGAGAAGACTCCATTCCTGAGGAGCTGCGCGTTGTCACTTTCGCCAATGAAAGTGAGCGTTCCAGAGGGATTTGTATCAGGACAGCTTGCGCGTGGTTACTCTTGATCTCGAAAGTGATCACGCGCAGCCCTTGACCTCCTGCGTTGCCACTATTATGAATAAAAGTGAATGTTCCAGAGGAGCCTTCAACTCTGCAAGTTGCGCGTGGTTACTCTTGCTCTTGAAAGTGAACACGCACACTACATAAAGCTTCTGCGTGGTTACTCTTGTGAAGAAAAGTGACAACGCACAGAACTGGGTTTCTATAAATACATGATTGAAGCGCGAAACTGGGATCTTTTTGCTCATTTTCTGTTTTGTTAGTTAGAGTCTCGTTGAGAGAGAGTGGAGAGAAGATTGGGGTCGAAGCTTGAAGCTCCAAAAAGAGGGATCGGATTGGAGCTCGTGGCCATGGCTGCTTTGCATTCTTATTCATCTTCTTCTTCTTCTTTCTCTGTTTTTGTTGCAATGTGTGCTTAATTTCCCATAGTTAGGGGTTTATGGAACTCGAATTGATGTATTGATTCGACTTTATCTTCTGAACTTTAAGTTCTTGGATTAATTGAGTTGTTAATTCTGCTTTTCATGCAATCTCTGAATGGAAATTCATTTGATTAATCAAGAGGAATCTTTACCAATGGGAATTGGATTGTTTGCTCCGATCTAAATTGGCAACCAGAGTTTAGAGATTTCTTAGGGATAAGGAGACCTAATTCTGCAATCTTATAGTTCTAATTCTTAATGCAACCTGAAATTGAATCTCACCTAAGGGATTAGGGAGGTTTAGTGGATTGTTAGGGTCAATGAGTTAAGGAATTAACCTTTGGCTAGATATATGTGAAACTGATTGTCAATTATTCAATTGCTTGAATGTTCAGAGGATTTAATTGGATTGATATTGATATTCTTGTGAAGTAAATTCCTAACTATCCTTCATTGCTATTTCATTTCATCACAAATCTTATACTCTGTTTCTCTGCAAGTTCTTTGCTTTAATTGCTTTGGTTTATTGCTGTTATATGTTACAAATCTCCTTCAAAAATTCGTTGGCTCAAATGGTTATAATTCTGTAAAGTTGTACTTGAAACCTAAATTCCCTGTGGAGACGATATTCTGATCTTAAATTTACTCATCACTTGCTGCAATCCTAGTGCACTTGCTAGTGTTAGATTGCAAACAACATTTCTATAATAAAATTTAGTACCAATAGCATCTACCAAATGATGCCTGACAAAAATAAAGTGAAAGTTAGACAAATGAGTATTGGGAATTTTTTAGAAGGGAATCTATCAATAATATAAAGAAAAAACAAATGACAAGGAAATAGAAAAAATCTGGTAACAATCAAAATTATGTAATAATTTAAAAGAATATATGACAATAGTATTCACAATTATTGTAATGTTATTTTTTAGATTATAGATCAAAGGGAATGCAAAAAGAAATCCTTTCAAAGCAAACCCTCTCTTATAACCTACTAAAGTTTTCTAAAGTCTAAGTTTTATATCTTTAATCTTTTCCACAAAGATTGTATCAACTTACAAAAATATAACAAAAGTTCTGCAATATTTTGTCAAAAATTAGGTTTCTTATTTCTACTTTATAGTCTAATTGTTTCTACTCTGCTTCTTGTTGTATGTTGTTCTTACTTTTACTATTTGTATGATTTTGGTTTTTATGTCTTCCTCCCCAGTATTGACTGTCATCTATGGTACCATAACCTAAACCATGGGAGAGGTTTAAGTTCTAAGTGTTAAAACATAGGTCGTAGTGAGAACTGCGAATACATTGATCAACACAAGTAGTGATCCCAATGGTAAGTCCTCACCTTGGGTAATAAGTCTGTTGATTAGCTGGGGTGGTTTATAGCCTGATGTGTTAAACTTGAAAATCATTACCAAAATTTGTCATTTATAGTTAGAAGCGTTGGGTCTATTCTAGGAAGTAATAGACAAAGTATAGAAATAAAACACAAAATGGAGAAATAGGAATTTCTTTGTCAAGGCAAAATCTCTCAATAGGACAAATAAAAAAGTCATTACATAATTGGTCTATATTAAAAATAAAACCTTCAAAAATTTATAAATCAAGATCTCTTTGGGAATCAAAATCAGATGAACAAATACATGTGGTACAATACTCACAACTAAGAAAATAAATAATAAAAAAAAGAGTGGTTTTTCTTTACTTATTCAAATAAACAATTAGTAGAATTTAGAGAAAAATTTTATAATTATTTATACCAAATAGAGATTAATATTTACTTCTTTGACTAGTTAAAACAAGTAATAAAATTTTTAAATAATTATTTGTAACACCTTAATTATTTTCAAATAATTATTTTTACATAATTCATTTTTCGTAATTCATAAAAGGATAACAATAGTAAAATTTCCATTCAATTTGTTTTAAATGCAATATTCCAATGAGTATTTCAAAATATGGGACGGGTATTACAAGTTTAAATCAAATCATTGTTACATGACTTAATAAATACATTTTTAAAAAATTGTTTCCTAAGTCCTATAACAGTTTCAGCCATCCCCTTCACTAAGTCTGATGCTGATCGTCTTAGTCACCTGAAAAATAAATGTAAGGGTGAGTATTCTACACTATATTACACATAAGCACAGAGACTCACCTTGCATCTTTCATACATTTACTAACATAATTCAAATCATGCTTTAAACAAACATGAACTAGTACTTTTTAATATTCCACTCTAATTCACATATAGGTGTGTTCACTGCATCATCAAACAATCCAAATACACACCCACATGCGCTCACTGTACATTAGTCATGCTCACTGTGGTACTGTGATCACAATTTCATGATCCCATCAACTTTAGGGACTTACTCAGTTTCACATTATGGATGATCGTCAGTTAACCCCTGCCTCACGGATACAATATGTTCAGTCATGGGCCTCTTAGCAAAGGCGTTAGTTAGATGCCGAGTCAAGAGGAAAGTGTATGGCATGTGGTGCACCTACGCTCACTGTTGGTGTCACCACCACCCTCTTTTCTCTAAGGTATTTCTACTACCCCATCTTTCACACCCCCAGTGTATCGCTGTAACCATTTATAGTTTTCAACATTTTTAAAAACAACCACAATCACACTTAACATGCAATTCACACATATTCTCACCCATTTCATACTATTCATCATCAACCAATGGCATGTCAATACATACAATCAATCACATTATACTCCACACTAAATTTTCATCAAAATCCAATCACAATCAAACCATTCTCATCAAATACACATAATCCTACATTTTATCCTAATCACATTGTAGTACATAACATAATAAACGATTTCTAAGTACAATGAGATAGAGTAGAGTTTCCCTCTTACCTCAGAATGAAGACCCAATATGAAATAACGATAGAAAACCTTCTCCACACAGTGCTTCATCCTAAACACATGGAAAATCTCCATGAGAATTCGAGAAAATGAAGAAAGGGACAAAAAAACCAAAACTCTAGCTCTCAAAACTTACCTCCAAATGTGACATATGTGATTCTAACCTTCAATCTAGAACGGCTTTAGAGACAATTTAATTGGTAAAAATAGGTTAAGGGTAGAGAGAATCAAAAGAAGGATGAAGATAAAGAGTGAAAAATGAGTTTCCCGAACGTTAAACCCCTCAAATACCCTAGGAGTCACAATATTCTTGCAACAGCGATACATCTCTCGCTACAGCGAGATCCTTTCTCACTACAGCAAAAATATCATTCCAAACTGCACTCTGATTTCTGCATAATCTCATTACATCGAGATCTTCTTGTTATAGCAAGACTGCACGCATAAAACACCTTCTCTCTGTTGCCCTCTCACTACTGCAAGGAGCGTGGCACTCCTATCTCTTAAGGCCTTCTGGCTACAATAAGAACGTAACAAAGTCACGCCAGTTGTCTAGGATCTTCTCGCTACAGTGAGAATGTCCTTGCACTAAACACCAACATATATTTCCAATCAATTTTAGTTCAGTCACAAGTCTACATTCACATTTCAACCATAATATACACATATATACATATCTATATGTATTTATATACATATCCACATCACCACACAAGTCAAATGAACATTCAAATAGCAATTTATATATTTATATTAATAATCAAAATATCATTACAAAATTCGAGGCGTTACAAAATACCCTCCACATGAAAAGATAATAATACAAACCAATGAAAATGTAGAAGTAAAGGCATCACCTTTTAAGAAAGTCAATCCACAAGAAAAATAAATTGAAAAAATGATATTAGCAAATTACATCAACAAATAAGCTTTACTAGTATTATATTGGAAGTTATTTGAGTTATTTTAGAACAATTAACTAGAATTAAAGATATGCTTGAGTCCTGTAAAAAAAAGGAAGACTTAGAAAACCCTATTCTAAAAACAGGTATATTACCTACAAAAATAATAGAAGTTCTAAGAAAAAAGAATAGTCTAGAATTGGACATAAAGCAATTGAAAACAAAAATATTACAATTAATAGGAAAAACTTCTATAAATACAATAGAAATAAATAAGTTGAATATGAAAATATAAACACTAAAAAGTAAAACCATATTATAATAAGTCATCCTTACTAAATATACTTTTAGAAGAAATAAAAAATTTTATACAAAATTCTTATACTAGAAATTATTTAATAAAGTGAAATTTAAATGAACTAAGTAAACAAGCAATCTTAAATGTTACTACACAAATGGCTATGACAACCACAACATATAAAATAAGAAGAATAAGTTATAAAATTGTAGCAGAGACAATTGTTCAAGAATTTACAGAACAATTAAGAGGATGGTAAGATAATATATTATTCCCAAAAAATAAAAATGTAATATTAGTACATATTAAATAAGAAATATAAGAAGAAGATGCAAGTAAAATAAATTTTACGGAATAAAATTTATAAATTAAAAATAAAGATCGTGAAGCATATAAAAATAGTATATATTATGTCAGCATTCCTCCTGATTTATTGATACACGAGCTTAATCAAATTTACTTATCCTTATTTGATAAGAAATAAAATTATTGATTTCAATTAACTTTTGTATAATATATATCATTGATACAATTTATTCAACTATTTCATAAAACTGACGTTATGTATTTTGTTACTAATATATGATTTCAACATTTTATGCAAGTTCTTTGACGATATAACATTAACATAGATTTTTGTATGTTTTATGAAAAATTTTTTTTTTAATAAAATTCATTTTATTCAAGTACTTTAGAAACTATTTAAATGGTAAATGATTGTGTTATTTCAATTATTGCAGAAATACAAACGAAATATTTAGGTTCAAACACATCATGTTTCTCAAATAAGAATTTTAAAATTAGAGGAAAGTGATTTATACCACTAAGTTCTCAAATAATATTAAATCTTCAAGACTTTCTGAACCATTATGCTATTTGAGAAACATAGATCATTAGTTGGCATATGTAATGGAGCTAGGATAATAGCTAATGAGTTAAGAAGAAATGTTATTGGTATGACAATAATTAAGAGGATAAATATATATTAAAGACAAATTTATACTTTATGGATGAATTTTTTATCCAAGATTCCTCAGTAAATTGGAAATGAGACAATTTCTCATGTTTTGTTATGACTATTAACAAATTTCAAGCATAATTATTGTCTCATGTAATTTTTTTTCTTTTAAAATTAGTTTTCACACACGAACAACTTTATATTGCTTTGTCTTAAGGCAGGATCAAAAGAAGGTCTGAAGATATATATTGATAATTGATGAGGAGAGAAATCTATGTTTTTTTTTAAAATAATATTATTATAAAAAGATATTTTCCAATGTTTGATTATTTTATAATTCTATTTCCTTTAAATTTACATAATTTGGAATTATGAATTATATTTATTTTTCTCTTTTAAATTAGTCTGTAGAATTTAAAATGCATATCTTTATTACCTCCAAAAAGATAGCCTTTTTATTTAGTAAACATCAAAATTTTACTGTTTTTTTTCTTCCAGAAAAAAATGTAAATTATATATCATTAATTTTCATAGTTTTCTTATATATAGTTTGTCACATTATATTGTTCTTTATGTTGCAATTGGATAAGAAGTAAAATATAGATAAAATAAATAGAAGAAAATATAAGAAACAAGAGGATGAGAATTAAAGTAAAAATAAAATATAAAAAATTTGATATTTATATAAATTAAAATAAAAGAAAAAATAAAAAATTCTTTCATTTATTTAATTTAATAAAAAGAGAATAAAAATAATTGAATTATATTAAAAATATTTATAAAAAATTAAAATTAATCTGAAAATTTTTAATTTTAATTTTATCATTTTTAACATCATATTAATATTAAAAGAAAAAAATTCTTCCAACATCTGTCCACGGTCTCTCCCCTCCCCCTCTCTCTTTCCTCTAATTTGGAGAAGTTTTTTCTAAAAGAAAAAAATATTTTTTCCCCTACCAAACAAAAACATTGATCTTCCTTCTTTTCTAATTTCTTCATTTTTTTCCCTTAGTCCCATACAAAATTGTTTTTTTTAAATAATATAAAAGAAACTAATTTCTAAACTAATATTAAATATAAATTATTTCTCTATTTAAATATTTTTTCTCACATCACATTAAATATTGCACTTATAGGAGGAATGATACTAATTTTTTTAAAAATCAACATCACTTAACGTATCACGATACTTAATTTTTTATTATTACTTTTTTAAATATAACATTTATAAGCACGATACATGATCTTTTAAATTAATTTTTAACTTAAAAGGTGGATACTCTGCAAAATCCATTTCCAGATCCAAGCGAAGGAAGTGAAGAATTTGCAACCTTTTTCCCTGAAAATGGCATGCCAAGACCATATGGCTGACTCCCAACAAACCCATTTCTAAGAAGTGGGAGTTCATACTGATGATTTTGTTGAGTAATAAGTGTTTCAAGATATGCGAAGAATCTGAGAAATTTCTCATTTGAAAAGGATCACCAGAACTACTCATCCCACGCATTGAACAGTCATAACTTTGCTACGACCATTGGACGAAGTGTGGGTCCAGCGTTGTGCGATGAACTTCAGGACCAACTTCATATTATGTGAGGCAATATTTATTTAAAAAATAATAATAAATTAATATCACCCTTATAAATGCATTGACTCGATGTGATGTCTAAACAAAAAAATAGTTTATATTTATTATTAATTTAAGAATTAGTCTTTTTTATACTATTTTAACAAAAAAAAAAGAAGTAAAACAGACAATGTTAAAAAGGATCTGTTGAAACTTATCACACTTCTTGACTCTTGTTTTGAAATTAAAATTATTATGAATTAACTAAAAAGTTATATTTCAGTCTTTATTTAAAATTTCTTGAAGAGTAAGTGTTACATTACTTCCAAGTTACAACAATGTCCATAATTGTCAGATATTCATAATTTAACATTAATATTTATTTATTCTTAATATGAACAAAACAAAATTCCTAGCCCAAGTTTTAAACTCTATTTCTAATTTTTTTAAAATATTCAATTAAAAAAAAAAAGACGTCCAGAGACAAGAATCTAAACCACCACACTAGTTTGATAAAAGTCATAGTATTCTACCACGCAAGGAATTAATCTAGAGCAGCTATAAGAACATGTGTGGCAAGTTCATGCATAGCTTAAGGAGCCAACGAAATCAATGATCTGATATCTTGAAAAATTAACGTCATTATGATGATCAACAATGGAAGGAACACCCCATGGTCCCTTCCTCCCCCAAAAGCTCCCAAACGCAAACTCTCCCTTTTGATAAAACTCCTCCATCACCTTTTCCACTTCATCCATGCAACAACCACAATGGCGTCCCGCATCATCCATTAGTGCCATCTCTGCTTGAATTCTAATAGATTGTTCATGAATTCCCACAAGCACATCTTCATAAGAACCCATTTCCTTTTTATCATTTCCCTTCCTTTGACGAAGCTTTTTCTTAGCATATTCCCTTGTTTTCCTCACCAACTTCCACGGAAGCTTCAGCAGCACAAAAACAAGAATTTGCATCATCAAGCACTGACAGCAGCATGATATGACCACACAATCAGCGCCAAGCATGTTCCAATCTTCCATGGTTGCGAAAGAGAAGGAGAAGAGGAAGGAGGAAGAGGTGACGCTGTTGAAAGAGATTATTAAACGAAGGCATGCTTGTTTAAAGAATAGGTTCCTTCTCCCCTGTTCAGGTCTTAGTGAGGACGAAGCAAGAACGCAATTTGATGAGGAAAAGCTAAGATATATTGGTGAATAGTGATGGATACTCGTGCTTTCCAATTATTTGATTGAAATCCAAACGCAAACTATAACTTCGGAATAAGGGTTATCGTATCAGTAGAAAAATATATAGGTGATTCTCTAGGGGTTTAGGACCACTAGATACTAATCAATAAAATTATGGCTTAGTTTTCAATGAAGCCATATCATAATGTCTCTATTTTTTTTTTAAAATTTAGTCCCTATATATTATATATTTATTTTTTATAAAATAATCCTTTAATTTAAGGATTACATTGACGTTAAGCTATGGTTTATTTGCAAGGTGTCAACGTGGGACTTGACTTTTGATGGAAGATTGCTTTCCCTCTCTTTCTGCCACGGCAATACATCACATCAGTTTTAGAAGAGTATTAGAAGATTTCTTCTGTGCTTACTAGTTACCGTACTTCTCCCCTTGTCCAGCCCTTAATATTATAAAAAAACCATGGAAGTACGAGAAAATGACAAAAAAGCCGTGTAACAACTTTTACATTGTCAAAAAGTTCATTTAAAATATTACTTCCTTATTTTATTTATTAAAAATTGATATACCATGTGATGTTATATTTTCGTACTTTATCTTTCTCTTAATTTTTTTATATACATATTTAAAAACATTCGTTTACAATACAATATGTTGTCCTTTCCAAACAATAATTGAAGAAATCTGACTTACAGCACCATCAATTATGAATATTAATATCTTCTAATTATATATTGTATTATCTCCAACCTTTCAATATAAAAGTATATCCACGTGTTACTACTTGTATGAACATTTGTAAATTTGAATTAAAATAAATTTGGTTTTATGATAATAATTTTGAGTAAAAATGAGTATATAATTTTTATTTAAATTTTTTTACTTAAAATTAAGTTTATAGTAAAAATTATTATAAATTTATCAATTTGACGTCACATTAAAATGTATAACACCTTAATGTCAAATAATTGTTGCAATTAAGATTTTGATGGAGAAAAATGAAAAAGGAGAATAAAAATAGAAAAGAGGAAAAATATAAATTTAAGGGTTTTCAACCTATAAAACTTAGATTACAATCTAAAGTTTCGACCCTTTCTCTATTTTCTCTAACCTCTCATTTTTCTTCTTTAGAAATCCTTCTTTAAACTTCAATCTTTCTTCGAATCTGGACTTGGAAGCTCAACTATTTAGATTCAAGTAAGTTTCTTTGGAGCTTGGTTCTCTAACTTTATTTTTATTTCTCCATTTTATGCGATCTAAAGTTTTGTACCTTAATCCTTAAGACATTTGATACACATTTTCTATATCATAGTACTTAATTGGTGTATTTCAATACTAGCAAGTGTACTAGGTAATTGTAGCAAGTTATAAAATGTGGAAATCAGATTGAGTTCCAAGTATCGTCCTCTAGGATCTTATTTTTAATCACCAATTCACAAGATAATAACCATTTGTACCAAACAATTCATTGAATAGATTTCAATATGAAAGAAAGTAAATTTTTAGAATTAAAGAAATGAGAAATTGTTAAAAACAGAATGTTAATTTGTACTATTTGAATGAATTATGAATGAAGGAAAGTTAGGAATTTATTTCACTTGAATATCAATATCAATTCAGTTCTGCCTCTGAACATTTAAGCAATTGATTGATTGACAATCGGTTTCTCTTTACAATAACCAAAGATTGATTCCTCAATTCATTGGTCCTAATATTCAACCAAATCTCCCTAATTCCTTAGGCCAAATTTAGTTCAATATTGCATTACGAATTAGAACCAAAATATTGCAAAACTAAGAGCACTTATACCTAAGAAAATCAATAGTTTTGGGAATTAATTCAGATCCAAGCAACAAACCCAATTTCCATTAGTGAAGGTTACTTTTTGATTAATCAATTGAACTTCCATTCAAAGATCAAGTAAACACAGAATTAATCCCTCAATCAAATCAAACACTCAAAGTTCAGAGTCAAAACGAAATCAATATATCAATTCTAGATCCATAAATCCCTAACAAAAAGAGTTAGAAACACATGACAATGAAATAGAGAGAAGAAAGAAGATAAAAAGCAGAGAGCCATCTCCATCACTTTGTCTTCTCCTAGATTCCTCTAGCAAAGAAGAACAAAAGTCACTCCTATCTTCTCCCTCTGACTTCCCTTGGAAGTTAAAACGGTTATAACTGAATACCAAAACTAAAAAATGACAAAAAGCTCCTTTTCTAAGTTTCTAATTCCTATTTATAGAGTTCCTCTAATTCTTTGACTTAACCCTTGAAATTCTGAAAGTTAGTTATCCCAAGGTGTTTTGGAATCTTCTAAAAGTGATACAAAAGCTCCAAACGTCCAGAATTGGCGAGAAAAAGAAGTTATAAAAATTGCAGAGTTTTGCACCAAAACACGAAATGGCTGAAGTGAAGGCGCGCGGTGTAACATCTGTTGATTTACAAACTCCCAATTAGGGAATTAGTGATTTGATATATATATATATATATATATATATATATATATATATATATATATATACTAATAATGTTCCCTTCATACATAATAACACATTTCAGAATTTTGTCACTTTATAAAGTACTTAAGGTAAACTTTCATAAATATTTAGATATCCTTTTTACAGTAATACAAAGGGTAAAATGGTTAGTAAATTCTCTGCACTACACAACACTGTTAATTGAGGAACTCAATTACCATTTCACCTATCAACATAATTACATTCATATGAAACATCAGTTACTGTTCTTCAAAATAATAAAAGCAACACTGGAGATGACTTCCTACAGAGCAGCATAACTAATCAAAAAGAGTGACTTCTACCCGATATCATAAAGACCTATGTACAACAAAATACTACCTACGACTAACCTTCGCCACTATACAAAAAAAAACAAAGTAGCATCAATACTACTCTGAATCCATATCTTCAGACTCATCGATGATCAAAGGATCATAATCCTCTGGAATATCAATATCCATTTCCTCCTCCTCAGCTGGAGGGGGAATTGGTGGTGGTATGGGCTGAAAAGGATTATTATTATCTAAGTCAAGGGTTAGTCTAGTCCTTATGGTAATAGGGACACCACCTCCAGGTCCTGCCGCTCTCCTAAAAAATATAGTAAGGATGCCCGCAAAAGTATGGGTGTGTCTATCCCAATCGTGCTGCCATCGCTGTGGCTCCGGGCTAATGAGCCTGATCGTCATATTCATTTGGTGTGGAATCTGGGCCATCTCTCTCTGCTACAGGTGGTAACCGATCAAGTCCAATGAATACCGCAGGTACAGAGAAAAAAATAAAGAAAATAGAAACAACGATAGGGTGAGCAATAGTTCATACATCACATTAAAATTAAACATCATAAACATTCACAGATCAATCGCATTCCAATGAATGATGATGATAGTGCATGATCTTAGTTTGTTTTTCTAAAATGTCCATGCATGCGGGCCCGAATCGTTTCTTAAATCAGTGCTGGGGTAGCCAGGAGTTGATACTACTAGGTATGGAAATCCAACCACGGAATTGTTGAGATCTACACTCAAATATGAACCTAGTAGCTCACTGACCATGATATACGGCAAGAGCACAGTCAGGTATAGGAGAGTTTGTACAGTGGGATCCCCGACAACAGGTAGCAAGCCTGAGCCTTTTAGGGCTTCCAACCACTACCCTTCCTATCCCCAAGTCCTCCCTCAGGGCCTCCCCATCGTATTCCCAGAGTCCATAGTCTCTAATTCCCCATTTTGCACAAAATACCATTTTCGGATGAATAATGTATGAGTTCCTAAGTGGTTTTTATTTTATTTTATTATTATAAGAGTTCTTAATCCATCATTCAATCATTTCAATTTGTTTTCATTAAACTTTCCTATAAAAAAAAAACCATGCACATAAATGCTCACTCAAAGATGACTCATATCATATAACACAATTTATGTCTTAATGAAGTATCAAACATATATTTCCATCACCAAACACATAAGCAAACCATTATCAAAATTAAGCATATAAAGAAATCACAATCATTAATCATAACAAAATTTAGATAATTTCAACAAATAAGGTTAAATAAGTTTATGATGTAATCCTTACTACATAGCCCACCCCTTACCTGTTACGTCCACGTTTGTTCTCTCTAATGCTTGAAGTTGATTTCCGATGAAATCTATACACGTAATGAAACGATAGTTAGAACCTTATAGTTCTCTAATTTTATCTCGTGAGAATTTAAACTCACTTTATTTTATTAATCCAATTTTTTTTTTTAATATGTTAAGCTCACATTTACCCCACACTTAACTTAAAAAAATCATCCTAGTTAGTACACACTTAGAGTAGGAAGAATCCTCATGGCAAGCATGAACAAGGTTCAACACTTTGGAATTTTCTAGAGTTATATAGACTGTTTTGGCATGAGGTCAAAGCCCAAATTTTAATAACGTAATTATCTACAATATTGATGTAGAGGTCAAAGTCTAATTCGAAATAAATTGTGCAATAAAGTTGATCAAAATCATGACAGGAAAATTTTCGAGCAGATTGCACAAGGTTCAGTATTTTTGCCATAACTCAAGATATACTTAATATTTTAACATGAGACCAGTTTCTAAATTTCAAGGGTTTATTTATCTAAAAATTTTATGAAGGAATTAAGTTCAAATACCCTATAGAATAGTGCCAGTTTTCAGGTTACAGTGGCTGTTTCTGACAGGGATCAACTACACTAACACTCTGAACATACCTTAGTAATATGGTCATATCTCACGCTACACATAAGATATTGACATGAAACCAATTTCTAAATTTCACGCATACAATTTCCTACAACTT